CTCAGTCAACACTATAACTAGTTAAATTTAATAGTTTCAGGATATCGTCATAAAGCATTGTCATAACTTGACAATCACGTAATATGACTGATAAAATTAATGAAACTATTAACGAAATCGGTCAACAAATTGACCTATAATTACCATTAAATGGTGTTGTTTTCTTGGTATCTTCATCCATCACAGATGATTACAGTATGTTTCTCTATCAGTTGCTCATTCAATAAATATCTCAAAACCTTGTCAGTCTAATTGATGGTTTAGCGACACAATCATGCATGCAAATAATCAGTATAAGCAGTCGGGCAAATCTCCTGCAAACTGAAAACATCAATGTCGAATTTACCCCAACACTGACTAAGGTTCAAACCATTATCATAGACATGAGTTGGGAGTGTACTCCCCCTGGTTACAACTTATGTTCTCCCTGATAATCACATGAGCATCACTCACTTTTAATCATCTTGTAAAAACTTATTTAGCTAAATACATTTTGCAGCATCACATCACTTCGTAATATGACACAGGTCTAACTGATTTTAATAACTTGTAACCACTATATCTCAATTAAATCGTGTTCCGCCTTATGATAAACTGCATACTTGCAACTAACTTGTATGTCCAATCACTCGGCAAGTATAAATACAAGTAAATAGTCTGCCACAGATCAGAACATTGAGTCTAGAGCATGTCTCTTACGAATACGCTCATGTTTAACGATTTGTTCCTAGCTATCTGTCCAAAATTCATATAATCATCACTCACGTATTTAAATTTTGTTTTGACGAACATTCATGTGTATTAGTAGTATTACTAAATTCTATCACGGTCAAGTAAAAATGAGGTTGAGAAAATCTCCCTGTAACTAAATAAACCGTATCAAACTAACTAGAACACTAGTTGGAATTCTTTACCATGGTAATACTTTTGTTCCTTCAGTTAGCCTACTGATACAGATGCAATTGGAATTCAACTCATATGGACAACTTACCGGCATAATCGTTATCCGATTTCATAATTTAAACCAAAACTAATACCAATATTAACATTTCTACAATATTCATTACTTTAATATTTCTAAACACAAAATAATTACTGCCTATAAGTCAAGTTATTAACACGCATCGTTTTATTATTATTATTATTGTAATCCCATTTTTTATAGTTCAAATAATCTTCAACCAAATTTTCATTTTAAGCGTGTTAATCATGAAAGCAGATATTTTAAGATTATTACATGTATTTCCCGACCAGATGCTGCCGCCTTCTTTTTGATTTATCTTTCAGCTTACTAATATCCGGAGGATTCTTATTATCCTTGGTAACCTCCGGCGCGCGACGATCCCATCCAATTTGGTATCGAACCAACATCACGTTGATTCTGGTGGGAGAGTAGTGTAGTGGCATTGGACAATAGCCACACAATCCACAAAGCTGTGAACACGAGACTACTCAGAAAATAGATATTCAATATTTAACGCGGAGAAATACCTAACAATGGAGAAGGCGCGAACAATGAATTGAATGGACTGGAGTTGATCGAGTGGCATGGCTCGGCCATGCAGGCGTGGTCTCTATTCATATTAAATATATTGTTCTTTCTCTAACCTAACCTTGTTCTTCATCATGTATTGGTAATTGATACGATACAGTGAGTTGGCGTAGTCGATGGTGTGACTTCCACGTAAGATCTTATAGATTAGGCAGTTATATCATGACGAATCTACAAATTTAGGATTAGGTCTATTATTAGAGCAGTACTAATATCATAGTAGACCATAGTTCTACACCTAGAGGTGCTTGTGATCAGTGAAACACATTGGACGCAAGATGGACAACAACGACTAATTTCAGGAGAGCTTCTGTTATACTCCGGCCATGAAAAAGAAAATGCACCACATACACAAGGAGTTGCATTGATGCTGTCCAAACAAGCACAGAATGCACTAATAGGATGGGAATCTCATGGACCAAGGATCATCAAAGCCTCATTCAAAACAAAGAAAGAGGGCATTTCAATGAACATCATCCAATGTTATGCGCCTACCAACGACTACAATGAAGACGCTAAAGATCAATTCTACAATAGGCTGCAGTCAATCGTAGAGAAGTGTCCAACAAAGGACCTGACCATTCTGATGGGAGATTTAAATGCCAAGGTTGGAATGGATAACACCGAATATGAAGACATCATGGGACGACATGGACTAGTAGAAAGAAACGAAAATGGTGAGAGATTCGCAAACCCATGTGCCTTTAATAAACAGATCATAGGCGGCACTATATTGCCACATAAACGCGTAAACAAAGCCACAAGGATTTCACCGGACCACACTACGCGAAATCAAATTGACCATATCTGCACCAACAAAAAGTTCAGGAGGACGATGGAGGACGTGAGAACCAAGAGAGGAGCTGAAATAGCATCAGACCATCACTTGCTGATCACCAAGGTGAAATTGAAACCCAAGAAGCACTGCACAACGGGGCGAGCAACATCACAAAAGTTCAATATAGTCTTTCTTCAGGATACTGACAAACTCAACAAATTCAAGATAGTCCTCAGCAATAAGATCCATGCCCTTCAGGATCTACTTAATGGAGAAGGAACTATTATGGAGAGCAACTGGAAGGGGATCAAAGAAGCAATCACTTCAACATGTCATGAGGTCCTGGGCCACAAGAAGCACCATCACAAGGAATGGATCACTGTTGATACACTGGATAAGATTCAATAAAGGAGGAACAAGAAGGCAGCAATCAATACCAGTCGAACAAGAGCAGAAAAAGTCAAGGCACAAGCTGAATACACAGAAGTAAACAAACAAGTGAAGAGGAGTATCAGAACTGACAAACGTAAATATGTGGAGGATTTAGCAACGACAGCGGAAAGGGCTGCAAGAGAAGGAAACATCAGACAACTGTATGACATAACAAAGAAACTCTCTGGAAATCGCCACAAACCAGAACGACCAGTGAAAAGCAAGGAAGGTGAGGTAATCATCAACATTGAAGAGCAACAAAACAGGTGGGTAGAACACTTCGAAGAACTCTTGAATCGACCAGCCCCACTGAACTCACCCAACATCGAAGCAGCACCCACTGACCTCCCAATCGATGTTGGCCCACCAACAATTGAAGAAATCAGCATGGCCACCAGACAGATCAAGAGTGGCAAAGCAGCAGGACCGGACAACATTCCAGCAGAGGCACTAAAAGCAGACGTAGCGGTAACTGCAAGGGTACTCCACATTCTCTTCAATAAGATTTGGGATGAGGAACAAGTACCAAAAGACTGGAAAAAAGGACTCCTGATCAAAATACCGAAGAAGGGCGATCTCAGCAAGTGTGATAACTACAGGGGCATCACTCTTCTCTCAATACCGGGAAAAGTCTTCAACAGCGTATTGTTAAACAGCATGAAGGACTACGTAGACACCCAACTTCGTGACCAACAGGCAGGATTCCGTAAGGATAGATCGTGTACAGACCAAATCGCAACTCTACGGATCATTGCGGAACAATCAATTGAATGGAATTCATCACTCTACATCAACTTCATTGACTACGAAAAGGCATTTGATAGCGTTGACAGAACAACACTATGGAAACTTCTTCGACACTACGGCGTACCTCAGAAGATAGTCAATATCATACAGAACTCATATGATGGATTACACTGCAAAATCGTGCATGTAGTGAAGTTGACAAAGTCGTTCGAAGTGAAGACCGGTGTTAGGCAAGGTTGCTTACACTCACCCTTTCTCTTTCTCCTGGTGATCGACTGGATCATGAAGACGTCAACGTCTGAAGGGAAGCACGGGATACAATGGACATCTAAGATGCAGTTGGACGATCTAGACTTCGCAGATGATCTGGCCCTTCTATCCCAAACGCAACAACAAATGCAGGAGAAGACGAACAGTGTGGCAGCAGCCTCAGCAGAAGTAGGTCTCAATATACACAAAGGGAAAAGCAAGATTCTCCTATACAACACAGCATGCACCAATCCAATCACAATTGACGGAGACGATTTGGAAGATGTAAAAACCTTTACTTACTTGGGCAGCATCATTGATGAACAGGGTGGATCTGATGCAGATGTGAAGGTGCTGATCGGAAAAGCAGGAGCAGCATATTTACAACTGAGGAACATCTGGAACTCCAAGCAACTGTCAACCAACACCAAGGTCAGGATTTTCAATACAAATGTCAAGACAGATCTACTGTATGGAGCGGAAACCTGGAGAACTACGAAAGCCATCATCCAGAAAATACAGGTATTTATTAACAGTTTTCTACGAAAAATACTTCAGATCCGTTGGCCAGACACTATCAGCAACAACCTACCATGGGAGAGAACAAACCAGATTTCAGGGGAGGAAGAAATCAGGAAGAAGCGCTGGAAGTGGATAGGACACACATTGAGGAAAGCACCCAACTGCGTCACAAGACAAGCTCTTACATGGAATCCTCAAGGCCAAAAGAGGAGAGGAAGACCAAAGAACACATTACGCCGGGAAATGGAGATAGACATGAGAGAAATGAACACGAATTGGATGGAACTAGAAAAGAAGGTGGGGGACAGAGTGGGTTGGAGAATGCTAGTTGGCGGCCTATGCTCCATTAGGAGTAACAGGAGTAAGTAAGTAAGTAATAATACATATCTATGATACGAAGCACTATTACAATCCAGTATTATGTATCATTACGACCAAGCGTGATCTTAAAGAAATTACTGTCGACGATTTAAATTCAAGGTTATTTTGGAAGTCTAGCATCAATAACTCGTCTTTTTTTGTGGTCTCGGAGACCTAGCACGTTAAATCCCTTTTAAATAACACAAGACAAATTCGTCTGAAAAAACTGACCTGTCTTCAAGCCTTGTATTCGATCACAAATAAAATTGAAATTCATATCACAAATCTGGTGTATATGTGTACATGCTTCCTCCCTTGTTATCCTTAATTTTCTAAGTCTGAATCAAGCTTAGCACAAAAATGAGTGTATATGGCATTTATGTGATAAGTGAGTCTGGCTCACTACAGTTTTATTATGATCATTCTGATGTTAACATGGAAGTAGAAAAGAAATACGATTTCCCACTCCCGTTCCATTTCAAAGCTATGGATGGTCGTATTGTCGTAGATTTTGGTGCATGTGACGATGTAAAGATAGGGTATACTGTGATATCTGTTGACGGCATTACAGCTAAAGGCACATCTCTGGAAGATAACAGGGATATTTTGAAAGTAAGTAATCTTGGCATTCATTTATTTTGTGCAATATGTTCACTTCATAATTATTTCGAGTCGACTAAAGCTAGCACAGGGTAATCATTCATGTGATTTTTTAAGGCAATTTAAACGTAAAGTTCAAGTAGTTTTTGATTATACAAACTGAAAGCAAGTAATCACTACTGATCCTTAGAAGTAGATGTCCTACATCTGAAGATACTAGTTTTATTTGTATGCCCACTTCACTATACCTACTATTGACGCACTAAATCTGATATAGGTCTCAACGCAAATCGTGAGTAATGCCGAAAACTTTTAAATGCACCAAAAGCTTATACTGTTTCACCTTATGTTCCAGATTTCAGGTTTGTGTAGTAAGAACAGAAGTTCTACTGCCTATGTTATTCTTTTTTTAGTATGCTTTTGTGCGTGTCCAGCCTTCTCTTGAATAAGTCATTAGGAGGTGCGGACACCACTGCCTCAGGTTCCAAGAATCGGTGACTCGGTGTCATAACCTGTATACCACGAGTATTTCGTTCGTTTTTGGCTTTTCTACTCGCCTGCTACGTCATCTGAGTTGTCCCGATCCGGCAGGGAAAAAATAGAGTGTATATTAGGTCCACAATCATTTATTAGTGTTCTGCACATCAAAATCGGATCACCTCAATCTACGGTAGGATAAAGTAAAGAGGTCTAGCTTTTCAAGCCACTCTTTCTGTGGGAAACTCCAAAGTTCTGGAGTTGCACTGGTAGCTGCCCTCTATACATCCTCCAGGATGTTCGAGTCACCAAAACAGGGGCTTGCAGCCTGAACTCGGTTTTCAAGTTTAATTCTCGCTAAGGTTGTGTATACTGTAGTGAACATAGTAGTATCTAACTTTGTGAATGTTCGTCTGAAAGTCCATAGGGTTCTAAGCCTCATAGCTGCAATCTCCCGACAGTGGGTCGTGGTCTTGAGATCATGATTCAGTCACCCCATGATCCTTGTGAGATCAGACCACGGGTACGACTATACAGTACCTACTTTTTTATCCTCAAAGTGCATGTAGACACACTTGGCCTCGTTGATATGCATCAGCTATTTTTTGACCAGCTAATCAGAATATCTAGGTCTGCCTAAAGCGCGCATGCATCTGCGTCTCCTATTATTTCCCACCAGATTTTCGCATCAGCATATAGTAGCATCGGAGACCCAATTATACTTGGGAGTTCATTTACATACAGTTCAAAGAGTAAATGACCTAGGACAGAACCTTGCGGTTCTCCACTAGGCACTGGTTTCAGTTATGGACTCAAATTGATTTGTTTCCTTGCCATGTTTAGTGCCCAATCGATTCAAGAATTTCAAGACGCTCTTGACTGAAGCGTACCATTAAACGATCAGAGAGCGTACATTCTCTAATTTTCCCTATTTCTATACTGCCCACCATTATATTTCCATGCACTTACTGCTTCCCGAACCTCCAGAGAGTACAATTAATTATCTTTGGGTGTATAACCTACCCATCAAAAAGTGGCAAAGCTTTCAACCACTAGCTCAGTTCACTACTCTTTGTCCAATTAATGACTTAATTTATTATTTGTTTATTTATTTAAATATATAAACATCTACACTAGGTGGCACTAAATATATATGTACCTCACAAATCATTCGAGTCATGTGGGGGCTGGGATACTGCCCGGGTGTCCAAACAGAAGCAGTTGGCTTTCTTGGGGGATGATACTCGGAGCCTTTGACCTAAATGTCTAATTCACAAGACAGTGGGTCAACTTTAGGAAATTCAGTCCCATGGTAGTCGGTGGTCAACAAAAAGGTCATATGCCGTTTTGTCCTATCAAGATCCTGGATCCCACGTGTACCATTAGTTTGGAATCAGAGTTTTCCAACTCCCTTAGGTGGATCCTCCGCAGTTCTTCAACTTAAAAACCATCATTTCATTCACACTAACCTAAGATTTGTTATTGATATATCTAATAAATATATAGATAGTATGTTGTTAATCGGTTGTAAACCAAGATCCAAAAAACATGGTCTTTCCAATGTTTATGGTACTAGTAATTCGATGGGAACTTGTAGCTAGGTATTAATTTTGTCTGGTGATAATATCTACCTCCAAGCATACTGCCAGGTATAATTTCTGGTAACCACTTTTTTATACTGAGGTTTACCGTTTGAGAAGCTGATAATCCATGATTTTCTGTTTGGAGGTTTTTTCAGATAAAGACAACTTTCCACTGACTATCAAACTTGGGAGACCTCGACTACGTCCAAATGACCGAATTCACCTTGCTAGTATGTTCCATCCATTACACTCAATGGCCCGACTTCTTTCCCCAATTCCGGATTCCAACTCCAGCTTTGTCGCTCCGGCTAATGATAAAAAGGCTCCACGAGTTTGGAATTCTGGTATCCAAACTTTGGAAACGGAATGCTGCCGTGTTCATTGTTTGGAAACCCATACAGGTGTTAAATTCTTACTTGTTACTGATGTTAAATTACCAGTGGCTTCTCGCGAGGCTCTCCGCAGGGTGTACGAGGCTTATACAGATTTTGTGTTGAAAAATCCCTTTTATGCTCGGAACCAACCTTTTAATTACGAATTCTTCGCTAATCAAATAAAAACCATATGTGATCAAGTAGAAAAGGGAATGTATGTAATTAACTAGTATTTTATTCCTTTGCTGATTTTCATTGATTGCTTTCATTCCACCAAACATATCACTTAGCTATCTTTTATTTTTATTCTGACTTCTTACGATTCTTTCTCATTTGTCCTATCTACTACCTAAGTGTTTTAAGCTAACTAGGGTGGAAGTGGGTTGGAGAAAGGTTAATGGCAGTTGAGCCAATATATTGCTCGTAATGTGCGATCATTAGTCCAATACTTGAAGACTTTCTTGGTTTGGGTACGCAACGTAATTGTAATCGATTATTTATAAGCATAAAGTAATATGCCTCAAAATAGGTAACAGTGATCTTCATGTATTCATTTTCGTCTTCCTTTTAGTAATATACACAGGATTATCCCTAATTGTTCATTTCAGTAGTTTCTTCTGACTTCCTCTATAAGTTTTCTGAAACTGTTGATACCATTATTTTCCGTTTTGCTTTCTATCTCGTTAACTTCCTAATAATTATGTGAAGTATGCCAGTTTGAAATGACACATTTCTCCTAAGTCTTAGTGTTTATATATTTTCTTTAACACTTCCTCCAAAAATATGTATCATACCACATTATACATACCAATACACTTTATTTGTTTTATAAAAATCATAGGCTTTTAATCTATTCTGGCGATTTAGATCCACCTATAGTTTGTCTTTCAAAGTGAAGATGTCTTGCTGATCTTTGTCCATGGATGATTCAGTCGCTCTCTAAACAAGCTTATATAACTAAGCATGTATTTACACTTGAAAATGTAATGCTTATTTCAAGATTTAGTCTAATGATGCTCTCCATACTGAAGTTCATGCTGTTTATCGGTAGTCAAACAACGCACCTTTTAGAAAATCTTTTGAACTATGTCGTTTCCAAACAAGGTTCTTTAGTTTACGTACACTAGTTTCTTCGAAACTGGTTGATTGAGTTTTCGTCTGATCATCCCTGTGAAATCCGTTATCTAGCAGTATGTTTTCAAATCACTCCGATTTTATAGCTCACTCGTCTAGTATGTTGATCACTTCTATTGGTTGACGGGGATTCCAGTTTATATATAGGTTTATACTACTATCGTATGTCGCTAGTTCGTTTAAGTTTTGTTAATACTCAAAATCTACACATAACTATGATGCCCCTTCTCTCCAGTCGAGTTGTTCCAACCCAGTAATAAAATAACTTTGTCCACTCGTCACAATTTAAGTGTTTAAGCCAATGAACTGTTCGACTGCTTAAGTCAGAGTAAATAAAACAAAATTTGACCCTGTAACTCTATAATTAAAGGGCTACTACTGTTTTGAACGGACAATATATTCAGTCGATGTATTTCTTGTAATTGATGTGACAATAAGTTGATATGCTGATTATTTCCGTTTCCGTGTAGTTTGTATGCAGATCAGTGAAAGGTAAAACCTTATGGTTAATGGAGACACCATATGAGGAGAATTCTTGGGAAAAGTTTAAATTATCGCTTACGTGAAGCCTAATATGCACCAAATCAGCCAGATAGTTACATCGGTCCAAATAATAATAATTTAGTGTGTAAGAAACTAGTTGAATTAGGTAACAAAAGGCGAACCATCAAATGTTTGGAACTAAACAATTTTGTCACTATAGTAGACAACAGCTATAGATTTAAGAAAATCAAGATATAAACACTGGGGAATATTGTTGTACTTCTCCCAAACTTTTGCAGCAAATTTTATCGGGCTGAATTGTGTACACTTTAGACAATAGGCGGGTAGTCGTTTCATTGTACATATCTTTGCTAACTGCCATTCATGACTAACGTTATGGTACAGATGAATCTCACATTATGAATTTTGTGGTTGAGCGGGACTTAAGGGTAGCAAAACATTCCTATTTTGGTATCGTGCTCTATTTAATATACGTGATCACTTACAGAAGGGTAATGATCGCATGTATTCTAGTAATCAGTCAAGTCTTGCTTTTGCTGCATCTGAAGAAGCTAGTGAAAAGAATTAATAGGATTTCTTGTTATTCCACTTCACTAAGGTCATGATTCACATAAGTTAGTTCAGTTTTTGGTTACGAGTAACGTCCTGACTACTCAAGTAGTTGATCAGTAGAATAAGTTGTCGCGAGACTTTGAATGCAAAATAACTAAGACTCATTGTACTGGGTACATAGATGTGCATTTAAAATAAATGAACCTATGTTAGCTATTGATAGTATCTCTACGTGACTGCCAAACAGACCACATATGCTTATAGTTTCTACAACTTTATGTAAAATATTGGTCTCTTTATTTTCCTGCTTACTGTAATACAAAAGTTGTGATTACATGGGAAGATTTTAATGTCGTGTAGCAGTGTAGACATTGTCCGAGTTCCGTGAATATTTCGCACCTTAGTTTATAGGTGATTAAAATTAACCTTCATGGATTACTTGCTTTATTTACATGGAACTCATCCTTAAATACTTAACTTCATTGATAGTCATGTTATTCATTAAATTTTAATGAACGAATGTTTTCTGTATTTACAATTAATCCAAATTTATTAGTATTATTGCTAACTACTAGCAAGTAGTGTCATCTTTTTATTTTAATTTTCCTATGGTATTGATCTTGATGTTAGCCAACAATTTTTAAGAGTGCGCATCCACGATCCCGCTCGCTCGCGAACGCTTAACCTACTGGACCACTGAACCGGCATCTAATGGTGATAGTATCTAACATCAACCAATCCACGGTCGTTTCGTGAGAAGCCGTGACCAGTGGAGTTATTCCGTGTCGGATAGAGACAGGTATCTACCTCAGTACAATGGAATATGGTCGCGCAACTTCGTGGATTGGTTGATGTTAAACAGTATCATCATTGGATCCCGGCCACGCGTATATAGCCTCTGCCAGGGAAGTCCCACTCGCTGCCTTCTTGTGGCGGGGGTGTTGTTTACGGAATTGAGAGGACGAAAAGCGAATTTCCGGCACTTTAACCGGGTTGGTGGACACGGAGAGTCCTCTTAGGGGAGTTAGAAAACCCTGATTCCAAACCAGTGATGTACATGGGCTCCAGTATCCTGAGGAAACAAAAAGTGTATGAACCTCTTGTTGGTCACTGGCTACTATGGGACTGCATCTCCTGACGTTGCTCCACTGCCTTATGGACCAGACCTTTAGATCGAAGGTTCCGGGTGTGGCCCCTTGTACCATTATCTATGTGTTCAAATAAATAAATAACGTTAGATCATCACTTTTCTTAGAAAAAAATCAAAAATTAATCCAATCCCTAAGCAAAACAATCAATGGAACTGTAAAATTATTTGATTGGGATTATCATTAATAGGTATTTTTTTATTTCTTTCCACTAGTTAATTAGGTCTTTTGAATTCACTTATCAAAACCAAACGGTTAGTGAATTTTGTCAGACTAAATAATCTAATCCTTATTTATCAAGTGATTTATTAATCCTATTTGATTGATCTAGATTGAAAAATAGGAAAACCCTCAATGTATTACTGTTTGACCATAAAAACATGAAATTCACGGTGATAAGGCTGTGAAACTTCATTGATCGAGATGTTTAATGTGTATTTTACGAATTCGCAGCTACTGCCTTTAATGAATAGTATAGGATGAATTTTGGAAATAGCTAGTCGTGTCACGTTCAATAAAAACATAACACTAATCTATAATGATTTTGGCTGTTTGATTGTGTCGCTTCAGGAAATGTAAGCTTTTATCGAAGTCCAGAAGGTAATCGTATTTGATGATTGACGACCATAGATGACATTGGTCGAAGTTGGTGACAGTGAACAGATACATTTATTTGTTATTTTCGTTTAAATTATGGGCTTTAATGTTATCTGATACTTTTCATTTCATGACTTAATTTGGATTTTCAAAGCTATGTTCACTATTATCAATGTTAATATTCTTGGTGGAATCCGGCAGCTTTCACTACCAGGTTGTATTGCAGAACATAGAGAGCGTCCTACTTTGAGCAGTAACCACACGCATCATATTCAATCCTAAAAAAAGACTTCAAAAACATGTAAACGCTGGGAAAATTTTTCAGCAGCAAACAAAGCCTGTATAATGAAACGGAAACTTTATTCTCTATGTTTATAGTTATGATTATCAGATTATTATGAATCCATCACTGTACGTCATTAACTTATTGATTATATTCCTCAATAAATCAGAGTATATCTTTTATGTTTACTGTGTGGTGATCTCACGTTCCTTCTTCTCTGTCATCTTCTTGACACACCCTAGACAACGAAAGATCAACGTATATATAGGTTAGATGAAAATTCACTAACTAATGAACATTATAATAATGAAAATATAAACACTGATTGACAAGTGATTATTAGTTCAAGAAACGAAAGTGTTTTATCTGGAGCTTAGATTTTTTTATATAACAAGTACAACTTGAGAGGGGGTTTGTGGATATTATAGACCGATAAATCCTGGGTTCGAATCTCGCGAGGCGGGATTGTAGATACGCACTGCTGGAGTTCTAGTGAGAAACTGTGACTAGTGGAGTTCAATTGGGTCTGTTGTGAGATAGTAACTCACTGATGACAAAGGTGGATGTGTCACTGAATTTCGTAGATTAGTTGAAGTTAAACATTAACACCGTCGGATGCTGCTCAGCTCAGTGGTGTAGAGGTTAAGCGCTCGCGCACGAAACTGATAAGTCCTGGGTTCGAACCTCGTGAAACGGGATCATGGATGCACACTGTTGAGTAGTCCCACGATAGGACGAAACGGCCGTTCAGTGCTTTCAGGTTTTCCACGGCTGTCTAGCTTCAACTGACACATGATCTCAACTACTGTTAATTGTTTATTTCTAAACATTTAAGTTTATCCTACTTCAAAACAAATAAATTACCAAATTTAAAGAAAAACAAACGATATGAGTAAATAAATTTCTATATGTATATATATTAGGTATATTCTATGGAATGAAAACAAGTTTAAAACTTAAATAGGACAACAGTGAAATGTGACTAATAGGTGACTAACCGATTCACTTTGTT